CAGGAATTATTTTGGATTGCTATCAGTTTTTACAATTTATAGAGTTATAAAGTAGCTTCCATAGAGTCAAATCAGATAATCCAGCAGAGTTTACTCTATATACTGCATGGTTTTCCACTAAAGCACAGTGTTTTTTTGTATTGTTTTGTTTTGTTTTGTTTCCCTTACAGTACTCTATCCCTAAAGGCACCATACCATCAGTGACTCCCTACTATCAACAGAAAGAAGTCCCAATTCATTAGGTAGACACTCACATTTTAGCTTCAGCCTCTTTCAGTGTTTTCTGTTATGCAGTCCAGCACCTTTAAACCCTACATTATTCAGCCTTTATTCCCAAATTCTACCAATCTTTCAAGTCCCTTTTCTTGTGTATTGACCATCTGCTGTAATCTACAGTAGTTCTCAAACTTGACAGAACATCAGAATTACCTGGAGAGCTGATTAAAACACAGATTTCTGGGTTCCACCCATCCTTTCATCCAGCAGAGCTAAGGTTGAGCCTGAGAATTTGCATTTCTTAAAAGCCTGGGTGGCTCAGTCAATACTTAAGCTTCTGACTGGATTTCTGCTCAGGTCAGGATCTCAAGGTCCTGGGATGGAGCCCCACCTCAGGTTCTGCACTCAGTGGGGAGGCTGCTTGTCCCTCTCCCTCCCTTTCCCTCTGCGCTTCTCCCTTCTCTCTCTTTCTCAAATAAATAAAATAAAATCTTAAAAAAAAAAAAAGATCCCAGATGATGCTGATGCTACTGGTTTAAAGACTCTTTGAGAACTACCTGCTCAGAGGAACTGTGTAAAAAACTATGGATAAGATTAATGAGACATAAACCCAGCCCATTAGGAATTCACAATCTAATGGAAGTGTCAAAAGCTTGGCTCCCCAAAATATCACTAAAACCACCTTTTAGTAAGACAAAGCTGAGTTAGTACTGAGAAAAGGAGAATACCACCTCAACAGAGCCTTAGTAGGGCTTAGAAGATGGTTCGTCAGGGGAAGGCGGGCAGAAATAGTTGCTATATTTGAGATTTTCAAGTTTAAGGCATGTCTTTCAATGGTTAGGATTGAGTAATGATCATGATATATATGATAATTTATGATATTATGGTTTAGTATTGATAGAATAAGATGAGGATTTGAGGCAAGGGGTTCAAAGAGTTCTGATGTCTGAACTTGTTGGCTTTTTCTGTTAAACTTGATGTGTCATTCGGGATGTTTCTGGAATACACCAGATGACAGTAGAGTAGTAAGGTCATATAAATGTAGACAGTCAGGTGTACTAATAGTTTCAGAGATGGAGAAACAAATAAAACAGAAATATAAACAAATAATTAGTGTGGTAGGATAAGTATAATTTAGTCACAGAGCCCTTTGGGAGAAAATACACAGAATCTTACAACCTCCCTGCAATCTGCCACTGCCAGTAATTCTAAGATCTTTTGAGTGTCCTGCTTTGGTTTATCTTTGGTAAATCGAAGAAAAAGCATTATGTTTGCAGAGGCAATGTTCCTCCTTGTTTCTTTTCTTTCTCTCTTTACACTATTAACATCCCCAGGCCAGACATGCATATTTACACAAATGTATTTTACAAACACTCAATATCAAATTATGGATGAGTGCAAAGAATTCATATTTATTAAGGATCAACTATATGATGCATGCAATGCAAGTGTGTGTGTATATATATTTCAATTAGCTGTATATTAAATTTTTGTAGTAATTATCTTTATCCCCTTGTTCACATAGATGATTCTTATTGGGACCTTAAGGTTATATAGACCCCTGAATATGGCTCTTTTCTATATAATTTAGAACTCATGGTCTCTTCTTTTTGGGAGAGATAAGTAGTGAGTGTGATGATTTTCAAGCACTATAGTCCTCTATTTAAGAATAGTAGAAATGAGCATATATTTTTCAAAGCTTGAGTGATTTTTGCTAAGTAACATAAGCTCTAACCTTTGGTGGCATGAAACTGACATCTGTTACCTTGCAAATCAGTTTTTAGAAATACCCTAAAGTGAGTATAATAAAGCTACATCTGAGAAAAACAAATTAAATCTTTTGAAATTAAAATTCTGGCACATGATTTAAAGTTAAAGCTCAAATTCCTGAAGAAGTACTTAAAACTCTTTGTACCAAATACATCCTGTGTTTGATCATAATACTTGAAAGAATGCCCAACATGCTTTTCAACAGGTTCCAAAATCAAACAAGAAAACATGTATCTTATAAAGTACATTTACCTAGATTTATTCATCACAAGCTAATATGCATTTTTTTTAAAGATTTTATTTATTTATTCGACAGAGAGAGAGAGAGAGAGCTCAAGCAGGGGGGAGCAGCAGGCAGAGGGAGAGGGAGAAGCAGGCTCCCTGTTGACCAGGGAGCCCGCTGCAGGGCTCGATCCCAGAACCCCGGGATCATGACCTGAGCTGAAGGCAGCCGCTTAACCGACTGAGCCACTAATATGCTTGTTTTATAAAATCATTTATAAATCCTTTATAAAATTCATTTCAATATTCTTTGACTCAAGTTTTGAGAAAACATCTGCAAGGTAGTGCAACTTTAGAAGTTATCAAAAGCTTGCCATCGTGCTAATGGCATTCACAACATACAAATCTGCCAGCTAAAGAAGCATCATCCCATTAGCAATAAACCATTTGGCACACAGCTATCTTCTCCGTCTGCTATGTGGGCTTTTATCACACCTTTCTTTCAGTCCCATATCTTCCCTGTACTGAGATGAAGAGGCACCAGGAGTAGTAGATGCGCGATATCTCCAGGCACAACTTACTAAAGTGCAAATGCAAAAGAATATTACACATTATTGTAGCTAGACACAGGATGTAATAAGGCTTTCTGGAGCACCTGGGTGGCTCAGTCGGTTAAGCATCTGACTCTTGGTTTCAGCTCAGGTCATGATCTCATGGGTCATATGGGGCTCCCCACTCAGTGGGGGGTCTGCTTGAAGAGTCTCTCCCTCTGCCCCTCCCCACATGCGTTCATGCACGCTCTCTCCATCTAAAATAAATAAATATGAAAGAAAGAAAGAGAGAGAGAAAGGAAGAAAGAAAGAAAGAAAGAAAGGTAGAGAAAGAGAGGAAGACTTTCAGAAGACAGACTATAAAAGTTGCCAGAGGCATGATGCTGTTATGGGGTTACTTAATCTTTCCCAACATCCACTAGATCTGGGCTTCTCAGCCTGGGCACTAGTGACATTTGAAGCCAGATGGTTCTCTGTTGTGGCAGCTGTCTTGAGCATTGTAAAATCTTAAAGAGCATCCTTGGCCTCAACCTACTAGATGCCAGTAGCACACCCTCAGTTTGATAACCACAAATATCTCCAGACATTGCTAAATATTCCCTGCAGGTAGAGTTGGCAGCTTTAACAAGTGAAAATAGAGGATGCCCAGGTAAATTTGAATTTCTGATAAACAGCAAGTAACTTTTTCATGTAAGTATGTCCTGTGCAACATTTGGTACAGACTTGTACTAAAAAACTTATACATCATTTTTCTGAAATTCAAATTTAACTGAGAGTCCTATATTTTAATCTAGAAACCGTTTGGGGAGGCAAAATTGCCCATGACTGAAAACCCCTGTGCTGTAGTATCACTAAGTTAAAAGCAAACACCCAAGAGACTCTTGACTGACTTGAATGACAGTGCTGCTTTCCTTAACCTCTCAGACCTCATAACCTTGTTTGCAAAGAGGGGGTTCATTAACTTCCCTTACAGAGTGGACATGAGGTATAAAGAAAATAATGTATGAAAAAACTCTTAGTACAGTCCCTGGCATAGTAAACAATTGATGTATGTTCATTACTGACAATCCCTCACAAGATGGTGTCATCATAGTATTTACTGATGTCTGGACTTAATTTTCACCAACAGTAAAGACTGTATTACAGAAACAACAGGAACCCTGCAAGTGATTCTCAATCTTGACTGCACATTGAATTCACCTGGGGAGTGTCCTTCCCTGATGTCTGTAACCTACCTGTGAGAAATTTGGATTTCATTGATCTAGAGTGTGGCCTGAGCATTGGGATTTTCAAAAGCTCCACAGGAGTCCTAAAATGTGGAGCCAAGGCTGAGAACCACTCTTTGAGAGAAAAGTATTAGAAGGAAATAAGCTAAACTTAATTATATCTGATTCTTGGGTTGTAGAAAATTGGGTTAGGATCAGATTTAGAGAAAAGACAGACATGATTTTAGTCATTTAAGAAATATATCTGTGTGCCTACTATGTGCCAGGCCATGTTCTAAGCAGTAAAGGGAGTCCCTGTCCTTGTTCAATGGTAGTAGGGAGGGACAGATAATAAACAAATAAGACATTTTAATCTAATTTCAAAGACTAGAACTAAGGCCTTCATGAGAGATGGTGGCATTCCAAAAAAAAAAAAAAAACAAAGTCATGAATAATCTTAATGGGAAAGCAAAATGGGGAGGAAGCAGCATGACTTAACAAGATGTTCTCTGAGTTTAGCTCTTAGATGAGATGAAAGCACGAAGGACATATTACCAAGGACAAGTGAAAGGATGGCATAAAACTGTAAAAATAGTGTCAGAAAGGCCAAAACAGAGTGAGGTTTTAGAAAAGTGAGGTTTAGAAACAGTAAAGCAACTAGGGCCATTCTGTTGAAAAGGGAAGTCCTAGACTAAAAGAGAACAAGAAGGAAATGTGAGGCTCTCTTTTTGAGGAAGATGTGCACTAACAGAAAGGCAGAACAAGCGTAATGCCTATTTTGCTTTATTTTTCTCAATTAAGAAGAATGAACTACCAGAATACAAAACAAAAACAGTGAAATGGACATGTTTAGGCTAAGGTAGGTGAGAATACAGTGAAAGACCACCCACATCCACTTTACATGAATTGTAACCTCTTGGTCCAGAAAACTGAGTTATTAGGATATTTTCCTGTGATATTTTGGTAGTAATGATAAGTGTATTTTTTAACAATAACATTCTCTTTTATAACAAACAGCAAAATACATATATAATGGTTTAAATACCATAGAAATTTATTTCACATTCAAGTCCAAAATGTTCTTGAGTGGTGTGTGTGGCTCCCCTCTAAGGATGGATTCAGGGACCCAGGTTCTTTCTAGCTGTGGCTTTGCCATCTTTAATAAATTCAGGTCTCCATGCTCATCTGCTTCCAGGCTATGAAAAGGAAAAGACCACGGAGGGTTACCAATGGGATGCTCTTATGGGCCAGACCTGGAAGTAGCACACATGACTTTTTCAAGCCTCCCACTGGCTAGAACTTTGTCACTTGGCCACCCCCTGATCAAAAAGAAAGCTGGGAAATGTAGTGTGCCCAGGAAGAACAATAATCGGGTTTGATGACAGCTAACCAATCTCTACACAGATAATAGGAGATCTGCCAGAAAAATGTAGCTAGAAAAATAATTCAAATTTCAAAACATGGGGTTGAAATGGAGTTGAAGGATATAGAAACAACATAGGTTTGAAACCACTTGGGAGGGGAAAAAAGAGGGGGTCTATACCTCATCTTCTTCTGCTATTAGAAGAAATGCACAACATTTTTGATAAATGAGAACTGACTGATAGTATCATTTAGTGGGTTCATACTTCTTCAGATAACTGAGTCCAGGGAATGGTAATCACTGTCAACCATGAAGGTGGTCTCTTGTGGTGTGCCTTGGGCCTCGCCTTCCCTGTGTCTCATTAAACATTTCTGTGAACAGCTTGAATGGAGACAGATCTGTGGCTGACTCAGTGAAAGAGATAATGAATGATAACTGTGGATCAAAGAATCAAGAGAAGTTTCAAAAGGATCTCGGCAATCTAGAACCTAGGTCAACAGAATTTTTCTGAACATAGCGAGGGAATAAATATTTTAGGCTTTTGGGCCCTAAGGTTTCTGTCACAACTAGTCACCTCTGCTGCTACAGCCCACAAAGCAGCCACAGACAATACATAAGTGAACCGGTGTGGCTATGTTCCAATAAAACCACATTTACAAACACAGGCTAAGGGTGGAGGCGGGGGAGGGAGTTCTGATCCACAAGGTTTCTCAGGCATCCAGGTTGTTGCAGATGGTGTCCCCGTCTAGTAGCTGTACAGTCTGGAGCAGGTAGTATCCTTTGTTGTTGAAGCAGGGGCAGAGGCATCTGGAGTGGAAAACATTGTCAGGATTTTAAACAGAGGCCATTATTTACACATGTGAGTGTAAAACACATATATCACTTCTGCTCATTATATGCCAAAACTAGTCTTATGTATGGCCTTATTTCAGAAAGTAGTGTGTGATTCCCATGAGCTAAATATGCAGAAGCACCCGGAAAAGCTACAAAGGAGCAAATCTCCAACATGGCTCATAATTGGAAAATGTAGGCTTCTGAGCTCCACCTTATAGCCCGGGAATCAGGATCTTTGGGACAGAGTTGGGAAATTTGCATTTTGAAAAATCTTTCACAGCCCATTCTCATTATCAACAGGAAGCTGCTGCTGTGAATAAGGAATGTTTTTAAAGTAGAGGAAAAGCAACAATTAGATCTGTGGATTTAAGATTACCCTGGCTGCAAGTGTTGGATTCAAGAGGGGAGAAACTAGAAGCTGGGATTTCATGTCCCACAACATATAGGGTTTAATGAGCAAACATAAATACATGTGCTTATATATCATGCAATGTGTTAGCAGGACCGGCTCAATCTGAGAGCCTAACAGCATTGTTACACAATTTCTCTTTATATTTTAGGAATCTCCTTCCTTGACTCTCAGAAAACCAGTAAGATAGGCTCAGAGGCCTTGTCAACTCATTCAGTAAATGTTTTGTAGGCCCCTGCTGCTGACTGTTGGTTGTATAGAGCTGGCTCGCACCCAGAGGACTCCCTGGATAGAGACAGGGGAGTGGGGTAGGTGGGTGTGGCCTGCTTCTCTCCTGAGAGGTGGCCAGATGTGGTCAAACTTTCCTTCATGCCTGTTAGGACAATACAGAATATGGTTATATTGCTGTCTCTGCTGCTTTCTGAGAAAATTGAGATTTAAGAGTAGATCTGCAATGGGAGAAAATAACCAGTGCATGATTCTTTTGAAAATTAAACCTATCCAGTTAGTGCTGATCATTTAAAGATTGACCATCCAAGTTTGGGTTTCTCTTGCTATATGCTGCCTGAATTTTGGCTGAGTCACCTAGCATTGTTAGCATCTCTCCCAAATGCTATTTGCAATGGGGAAGTGGGGAGTCAGGAAATCTCTATACACTTTGGGAAGAGGAGTAGGTTCTCTTCCTTTCAAATATTATGCTCAGTACTTATCAGTTGTTCATGTACCATGGCTTGAAATAAGTGGAATATTGATAAGAACTTGTCATTGCTGCTGAGCACTTTCTTTAAGAGAGATGGATGAACTTGTAGTCAGGTTCTCTTTTTAATGCCATGCTTTGTTTTTTTCTTGCATTGATAGAGCCCAACCACAATGGTATGAAACTAGAAATCATTAACAGTAAGAAAACTGGAAAAAATTCATAATTCATAAATATTTGTAAATGGAACAACACACTTTTGAACAACCAGTGAGCCAAAGGGGAAATCAAAAAGTATCATGAAACAGAAAATGAAAACACAACATACCCAAACTATTAGAAACAGCAAAATCAGTACTAAGAGGGAATTTTGTGGAAAATTTTAAGAAAAAGAAAGATCTCAAACAACCTAACTTTACACCTCAAGGAACTAGAAAAAGAACTTTGAACAAATTTCATTCAAAAGTTAGAAAGAAGGAACTAACAAAAGATCAGAGCAGAAAAACGAAATAGAGACCAGAAAAACAGTACAAAAGATCAATGAAACTCAATGCTGTTTTTTTTAAAAAGACAAACAAAAGTGACAAACCTTTAGCTGGACTAAAAAAAAAAAAGAGTGAACAGCTATAAATAAACTTAGAACTGAAAGAGGAGACATTACAGTTGATAAAACACAAATATAAAGGTTCATGAGAGACCAGAATGCCTAGAATTGGGTTACCCGGGAGAAATGGCTAAATTCTTAGAAATATACAACCTACTCAAATTGAATGATTAAGAAACAGAAAATCTGAACAGACCAAACGTGGGTAAGGAGACTGAATCAGTAATCAAAAACATCTCAAAAAAGAAAAGCCCAGGACCAGATGGTTTCAGTGGAGAATTCTGCCAAACATTTAAAGAAGAATTAGCACCAGTTCTTCTTAAACTTTTCCAAAAAATGGAAGAGGAGGGAACACTCCCAAACTCATTTTAGGAAGCCAGCATTACACTAATACCAAAGCCAGATAAGGAGTCCACAAGAAAACTACAGCACAATATCTCTGATGAATATAGATGCAAACATTTTTAACAAAATACTAGCAAACCAAATTCTACAAATCATCTCAATAGATGCAGAAAAACAATTGACAAAATACAGTATCCCACCATGGCAAAAGCTCTCAATAAATTGGGTATGGAAGGAATGTACCTCAACATAATAAAGGCCATATATATGACAAGCCCATTAACATTATACTCAATGGTGAAAGTTTGAAAGTTTTTCCTCTAAGATCAGGAAGAAACAAGGGTGCCCACTCTCACCACTCATATTCGACATAGTACTAGAAGTTCTAGCCAGACCATTTAGGCAAGACAAAGAAATAAAAGGCAACCAAATATGAAAGGAAGAAATAACAATTGTCTCTATTTGCAGAACATGATCTTATATATAGAAAATCCTAAAGACTCCATGAAAATACTGTTAGAACTAATAAATGAATTTCATAAAGTTGCAGGATACAAATCAACATAGAAAATCAGTTGTATTCATATAGACTAACCATGAACTATCCAAAAAAGAAATAAAGCAAACCATTTATAATAGCATCAAAAACAGCAAAATACTTCCCAATAAATTTAACCAAGGAGGTGAAAGATCTCTACTCTGAAAACTGTAAGATGTTGAGGAAAGAAATTAAACAAATAAATGGAAAGGTATTCTGTGTTCATGTGTTAGAACACTATTGTTAAAATGTCCTTACTACCTAAAGTGTTCTACATATTTAGTGCAATCCCTATCAAAAGTCCAGTGGCATTTTTTACAGAAATAAAACAATCCTAAAATTAATATGGAATTGTAAAAGACTCCAAATAGCCAGTCCAAATAGGGCGCCTGGGTGGCTCAGTTGGTTAAGTGACTGCCTTTGGCCCAGGTCACCTAGGGTCCTGGGATTGAGCCCCGCATTGGGCTCTCTGCTTGGCGGGAAGCCTGCTTCCCCCTCCCCCACTCCCCCTTCTTGTGTTCCCTCTCTTGCTGTCTCTCTCTCTCTCTCTCTCTCTCTCTCTCTCTCTCTCTCTGTCAATTAAATAAATAAAAATTAAAAAAATAAATTATATTACAAAGCTGTAGTAATCAGAACAGTATAGTGCTGCCATAAAAAGACACATAGACCAAAGGAACAGAACCAAGAGCCCAGAAGTAAACCATCCATATACTGTCAACTAATATTTGACAAGGGAGCCAAGAATACTCACTGGGTTAAGGACAGTCTCTTTAATAAATGGTGTTGGGGAAACTGGATATTCACATACAAAATAATGAAATTGGATTTCTAATTTATGTCATACACAAAAATTAACATGAAATGGATTAAAGATGCAAATGTGAAACCTGAAACTGTAAAACTCCCGGAAGAAAACACATGGACAAAAGCTTCTTGACATTGGTCTTAGCAATGATTTTTGGATATGATACCAAAAGGGCAAGCAACGAAAGCAAAAATAAACCAGTAGGACTACATCAAACTAAAAAGCTTCTGTACAGCTAAGGTAACCATCAATAAAATGAAAACCCAACCTAAAGAATGGGAGAAAACCTTTGCAAACCATTTATCTGATAAGGGGTTAATATCCAAAATATATAAGGAACTGGAAATTCTATAGCAAAAAAACAAACAATCCAATGAAAAAATGGGTGGAAGACCTCAACAGACATTCTTCTAAAGAAGACATACAAATGGCCAACAGGTACATGAAAAAATGTTCAATATCACTAATCATCAGAAAAATGCAAATCAAAAGCACAATGAGAAATCAGCTCACACCCATTAAAATGACTATCCAACAAAACAAGAAGAGAGAGCAAGTGTTGGTAAGGATATGGACAAAAGGGAGCCCCTGCACTATTGGTAGGGATATAAATTAGTATAGCCACTGTGGAAAACAGTATGGAGGGTCCTCAAGAAAATAAATCTAGGGCGCCTGGGTGGCTCAGTTGGTTAAGCGACTGCCTTCGGCTCAGGTGATGATCCTGGAGTCCCGGGATCGAGTCCCATATCGGGCTCCCTGCTCAGCGGGGAGCCTGCTTCTCCCTCTGACCCTCTTCCCTCTTGTGCTCTCTGTCTCTCATTCTCTCTCTCTCAAACAAATAAAATCTTTAAAATCAATCAATCAATCAATCAATCAATCAATCTAGAACTACCATATGATCTAGCAGTTTCACTTCTGGGTATGTATCTGAAGGAAATGAAATCACTATCTTGAAGAGATATTTATACTTCCATGTTCACTGCAACATTATGCACAATAGCCAAGACATGGAAACAACCTGAATATCCATCATTGGATGAATGGATAAAGATGTGATACACACACACACACACGGGAGTACTACTCAGCCATCAAAAAAGAAGGAAATCCTGTCATTTGCAACAACATGGATGAACACTGAGGGCACTATGCTAAGTGAAACAAAAGTCAAAGAAAGGCAAATACTGTATGATCTCACTCACATGTGGAATCTAAAAAAGGTGAACTCATAGAAACAGAAATTAGAATAGTGGTTGCCAGGGGATGGTGGTTGGAATTAATGGTGAGATGGTATAAACTCTGATTTTAAGATAAGTTCTGAGGCTCCAGTGTATAGCATGGTGACTGTAGTAAACAGTCACCATTATTTGCTTGAATATTACTAAGAGAGTAAATCTTAAATGTTCTCACCACACAAAAAAAGTAATGTGTGCATTGATGGAGGTGTTAACTAACCTTATTGTGGTAATCATTTTGCATTGTATCAAATCATCACATTATATACCTTAAAATTACACTATTATACATATAGGAAAATGAAAACATGTGTCCATTAAAAATTTATACACAGATGTTCATAGCAACATTCTTCATAATAGCCAAAAATGAGAACAATCCAAATGCCCAGCATGGATAATGATGGATAAATAAAATGTGATATATCCATACAGTGTCATATTATTTTCAATAGAAAGGAATAAAATACTAATAAATGCTATACCATGAATAAGCCTCAGAAACATTATGCTAAGTGAAAGAAGTCAGATACCAAACACCAGATATTATATAATTCCATATGTATGAAATATCTATAAAAGGCAAATCCATAAAGACACATGGTACACTGTGGTCACCAACTCCTGGGGGTGGGCATGGGGAGTGACTGCAAAGAGGTAAGAGGTTTCTTTTGGGGGTGATAGAAATGCTGAAAAATTAGATTTTTGGTGACAGTTTAATAACTGTGTAAATATACAATATCCATTGAATTGTATACCTTTAACAGGTGCATTATATGGTTTGTAAATCATATGTGAATAAATGTATTTTTTTTAAGGCTTTTCTTTCTTTGAGAGGGAGAGAGCGAGATAGGGAGAGAGGGCACAAGCAGGGGTGTGGGGAGAGGGAGAAGCAGGCTCCCCACTGAGCAGGGAGCCCAATGCAGGGCTTGATCCCAGGACCCTAGCCGAAGGCAGAGGCTCAACCGACTTAGCCACCCAGGGGCCCCCATAAACATATTTTAAAATGAGGCAAAGTTTGCTGGAGGAGGCAGGCATGGTATAAGGGAACTTTTTTTTTTTTTTAAGGATGGAAAGGATTTATGTGAATGATATAGGTAGGAAAAGGGGAGGGATCCAGAGTAAAGACAGAGAAAATAATACAAGAGAGAAGTTAGTAACATTGACAAGTCAAAGACAATATAAACCAGACTAAGATCAAGAGTTAATTTGGAGGGGTGCCTGGGTGGCTCAGTTGGTTAAGTATCTGCCTTCGGCTAGGGTCAGGGTCATGATCTCAGGGTTCTGGGATAGAGCCCCAGCTCAGTAGGAGCAGGGAATCTGCTTGTTCCTCTGCCCCTCCCTGTCCCCCCACCCTGTCCCCCTCAGATTACCCCCCACTCCGTTTGTGAGCCCACATGCTCTCTCTCTAATAAATAAATTTTTTAAAAAAGTTAATTTGGAGAGGGAATGGCATGGACAGAAGTTACTTCTGAGGCAGGGTAAAGGAGATGAGTTTTTGTAGATTGAAGAGAAAAAGGGAAGAAAAGTGAGAGTGTTCATATTTGATGGCCTGACTTTTCATGCAGAAGGCAAAGTCACATATTGGAGTGATGAATTTAGTAACTTCAGGAGAATAGTGATGGTTCAGACAACAAATGTGAATAAAAAAAAAAAGCTGATTGATTATATGAATAGAAGGATTTTGGAGACATTAAGGGCTTACTTGAGTTTAAATCAAAATTTGTAGGGCGCCTGGGTGGCTCAGTTGGTTGGGCGACTGCCTTCAGCTCAGGTCATGATCCTGGAGTCCCGGGATCGAGTCCCACATTAGGCTCCCTGCTCGGCGGGGAGTCTGCTTCTCCCTCTGACCCTCTTCCCTCTCGTGCTCTCTGTTTCTCATTCTCTTTCTCTCAAATAAATAAATAAAATCTTTAAAAAAATGGTAAAGATGGAAAATTTTATAAAAAAAATTAAATCAAAATTTGTAAAGCACTTAATCATCAAGGTTATACATTTTTCTCCAGCAGCTCTAGCTTTCTATGAAACAAGGAGAAAACAACTGATGGGCTAACTGCCTGTAAACCTGTGTTTGAACTGATAGTGTACAGGTTCCTGCTAAGGTTGGATGTAAAGTGCAGATTTAATCAAGCATAAAAAACTCAGACACTATTTTGGATATGATTATCACAAACTAAATGATAAATTTCAAGATGTAAAACATATTTTAGAAAAAAACTTCAATTTAATCAGGACTAGACTTAAGTCATTCCAATTTGATTTTTAAGCTTACTGAGCCTCTGTGAGATTTTAGAAGTGGTGCTAAGGGTGGTAATGCTTCCTTATCAAAAAGAAATCTCGGGAAAACCAGGAACCACCTACCATTCTACCAGATGGGTCCGGTAGGAGGTCCAGAATATCTGAACACATGGATGATTGCTGGATATGTAGATTCCTGGATCCTTTCTCACAAACACTGAGTTACACTCTGGGGGTACAGCCCAAACATTCTGTATTTTTAACCAGGTATAGAGGTGATGGTATTGTTAAAATGGTGAAGTTTTTCTAGTACGAATTTAAGCTGAAAGATGATGGTGGGAAAAAGATCAGTTAGAAAAAGGGAAGTGGGGTAATCTTTATGGTTTGGCAAAAAGCTTAAGTTTCTGAAGGATTTTCTGGACTCCATTATTTGTTATGACTAAATCTTCAACTCTTAAGTAATTCAAACCTTTTCTTCACATAATGAACTGGTAATTCCAAGAAAGAGGGTTTATTTAATGCGTGCGGAAAACTAAGTGATATAAACAGATGTGAAAGGAAGAGAATAACCAGATCTCCGTAAGTGTATGTCAAAAAGTCACTGATTCTTCTCCGCCTATGGAATAAGGTTGCACACTAAAGCCCTTAATTACCTTGCTTTATAGGACCAAATTCATGGAATTGTCACTCTTAACAGTTCATAATGCCACAACGAACTTAAAATGTGACCATTAATACTTTATTCTTCGAATATGGTCTCATAATGCTTCGTAAGAAGCATTTTATTTAAGTTGGTTTTAACTACCAAGTTTTGCTTTAAAATAGCCTTCCCTCCTTCCTCCCTACCCCCACACAGCCCCCCGAAATTACAAGCTGCAGAAGTTTGAAGTAAATTGTGCCCCTCCCCGACACACGCACACACCCACTTTTTAACACTGCCCTCCTAGGCCCCCAAACTCTACGTAACCCCAGCAGAGAGTCCCCTGGGCCATTTTTATCCCCGGCTCAGCCCTAGGGCCCCAAAGCTCAGCCTCCCCCGCTTTCCCCAGCCGTCTTGAAAGTCCGGTCGGGTCCGGACGGGGCGGGGCGGGGCAGGGCGGGGCAGGCCTGCTCCATTGGAGCCGTACTGTGGGGGGGGGAGAAGCAGATAGGACCGGTCCGGCTTGCTTAAAAACCGCCAGCTTTTCGTCCCTGCATCTGTTCCAGGGAGAACGCACCTACTTTACAAGCTAAGTTTTGCCTGACTTGGCGTCTGGAAGCAACAAGAATAACTTCTCAAAAACTTTTGCCAGCTTCTGCTCCCCCCGATGCATCGTTTCCTGATGGTCCGCCCTCGGGCCAAGCTAGGGAAGCCCCCTCCCCCTCCCCGCCTCCTGTGAGGCGCGCGGAGCTACCGCCCCCGGGTCGGGTCGCAGGGGCAAGAGGCCGGGCGCGCACCCAGAGGCTGCCGCCGCCGTGGAAACCGTCGGCCTCCTGGGCCCCTGCCCCGCGGCAGCATGGACTACCTGACCACATTCACCGGGAAGAGCGGGCGCCTTCTGCGGGGCACTGCCAACCGCCTGTGGGGCTTCGGGGGTGGCGGCGAAGCCCGGCAGGTGCGCTTCGAGGATTACCTGAGGGAGCCCGCCCAGGGGGACCCCGGGTGCGGGTCCCCGCCCCACCGGCCCCCGGCGCCGTCCAGCCCGGAGGGACCCGGTGAGCCCCGCCTTCCTTCGCCTCCCGCGCGGCTGACCCGGGCTGAGGGCTGGGGCGGGGGAGGGGGGTGCGGCGGCGGTCAGGGCTCGGGGTGGGAGTGCGCGGCCCGGGCTGGAGCCGGACGTGACCTGGGTGGGCGGGGGTCGCGAGGCCGGACGTTGGCAGGTGTGCCTGGGCGGGAGGCAGGGAGCGGGGGAGGAGGGAAGGACGGGCTCCGCTCTGGGGACGGAAGACTTTCTGCAGTTTGCGTCGTAGCTTTTCCTGCCCTGCTCTTCCTGCTTTCTTCACCTAGACTCGACTTTCTTTACCCCGCCAAGTATTTGGACGGTCTGATCCATTCTTTTTTCCCTCCCGTCGGGAGGTGAATGTTGAACCAATTATGATGTGGGTGTTTGTCGTCTTCGAGGTAATTAAGAACGCCGTGCCGGGTTTGGTGTTTTTGTTTGGGTCAGTGTTTTTATTTGGTATTTGTCAACTGTTAGAATTCACTTCGGCACTGAATAATTACTTTCGAAAAGAAAATGCTCAATTTACACCGGAACCTCAGTTGATTTTTGTGCCGTGTACTTTGAAAGGCAGCGTGTGGTCTCGAGATGGCAGAACTTAGACTTTCTTTTTCCTCAATGATCACTATACCCACTCTTGTGTTAGTGTTTTTTTTTTTTCATCATAAAAATCAGTCATAAAGGCACGATACTGATATCTTACGGCATTTTAAAAAGCGTTCGCTGGAAGAGGTGTTGCGTACGATAGCTTCTCCAGTCATTGGCCTCCTCTAAGTTAAGCGGCAGACCTCTCCTAGTCATTTATATTTTATTTTTGTTGTTCTAATGTGCATTTTGGTGTTATGAGAGTCAGCTTATGAGCATTGACGAGTTTAGAATACAGAGAAAAGCTCAGAGTGTAAAATCTGTCCATAACCCCACATTCTGCCATTCATTTTAAAGCAGTGAAACAGTGGAGACAGCTCTTGACCTGTGTGTAGGTGTGTAATTTAAACTTTGAAGAAACTTGAGTATGAAAATCTTAATTTTAGCATGACCCCTTTAAATAATTTTTCCTCACTTTACATACGTCTTTAGAATTCCTGTTTATGGAATTGAAAAATGAAAAAGGGGGGATTACTATATTTCTGCTTTGAAGTGTTAACCAGATGCAGAATTCTCCTAAAGGTGGGACCAAGGATGAGCACTAACCTTCAAAGTGTTTGAATAAAGGATTTCTAAAAATGAGTCTTTAGTTGCCTTAATTGAAAACATGATAGGTGACCAGCCTTTAGACAGATGGAGAATTCAGAAATATGTGGTGTAACTTAACCAGGACGGAATATAATCAGTATTTTAATGAGCCCAAACATATACATCGGATTCATTGATTCAGAAACACTGACTGAGCAGGCTCTTGCATCTGACACTCCCCTTCAGAGTTGCAGTTAACAAAAGTCCTCTTCTGATGAAGCTGCCTTGTGAACGCATGGCACATTGTTTAATATTCATGGTGACCCCAGATCTCTGACCCAAGTTAGAGAGGCCTTGTGATGTCCCAGGTACGACCACAGTCAGGTGGGCCGGGACATCCTGTCATTCACTTGCTGAAAGAATTTGTACATTTACTTAATCTCTTTGGGCCTATATTTTCTTGTTTTGTAAATGAGGCTGATTAGGTAATCCCAGAAGTTCTCAATTCTAGAGCTCTTTCTCATTTAGAACACAAGTGGAAGTGGTGGGTTGTAAAGCTAGAAAATACCATTTGGGTGTAAAAACATTGTGGGTCTGTGAAGTTATGCTTACAGAGTTCTAAAGCCAGTTCAGGAAATAAGTGCTCCAGCAATAATTTGATCACCATTTTTTAAAATAAGTATAGCTTCTAGATCGACTCCTTTGAGAGGCAACATGTGTATATACAAGTGAAAAGTAGATGGTGCTTTATTTCTAGTTAGCTTTTGCTTAAGATGAGAACCTTTTTTTGCAGCTGCCTACCCAGTGGATTTGGCTATAGGATTTTTCATTCTTTTTTTTTTTTTTTTTTGTATTTGTGTCTTTCAGAATGAGTATGAGTCTATTTGAAAGATTTCTTTTGCCCTTTCTGCTTGTGACTACCTTTATTTCAGATTTTTATAACAGCTGCTTAAGTTTCCTATCGTCTCTCACCCTTCCTTCAATTCTTTAAAATGTCCTGTGTGCTATTGCAGTATTGCTTGTACGGACACATCCATGCTTGTAAATTGGCTGCACTCCAGGACCCCGTTTGTTGTAGTGATCTTGCCCCATTTTGGGTTCAGTAATGATGTTGATAAAATAGCTTTGCTGTTGACATATTAAGGATGAATTAGATAAAATTTTGGTCAAATGTTTTTGATTTTTTATAAACAAACCACTTACTGTACTGTTAGTGTTACTAATGCCTTTACTCCTCTCCTAGGTGGCTGCTTTTGTTTTCTGACTCCAACTTTATATAGTTCCCCCCAAGAAAACCATAATTGGGAGTTAGACACATTAAGGAGCTTATCACACCATTGCTTTAGTTAATAACAATTACAAAGAAAACATAACTCAATTCTTGTTTTTGCCTAAAGAGTAAATTGTGACTTGATTCGAGAAAAATTTTTGGACCTTACAGCTCTTGTTTAGGAGCATGACCATAAGCCTATACTATGCAGCCTTTATTTTTTTTTTTTTTATTTTTTAAAATTTAAAATCAATTAACATATAGTTATTACCAGTTTGAGGTAGAGTTTAATGATTCATCAGTTGCATATAACACTGGGTGCTCATTACATCAAGTGCCCTCCTTAATGCCCATCATCCACTTACCTCATTCCCCAGCCCCCCTCCCCTCCAGCAACCCTTAGTTTGTTTCCTATAGTTAAGAGTCTCTTATGGTTTGTCTCCCTCCCTGATTTCCTCTTATTTTATTTTTCCCTCCTTTCCCCTATGCTCATCTGTTTTGTTTCTTAAATTCCACATGAGTGAAATCATATGATGTATGTCTTTCTCTGACTTACTTCACCTAGCCATTAAAAGTATTCACTTTACTGGATCATATAGTAATAAATAAGTAGATTTATCAAGTTTAAGTCTCACCTTATTGTGATTAGTTATTATTATCATAAACTACCCTGCTATGTCAACTCTGTTTTCCCACTTGGTGACAGTATATACTTTAAACGCATCTCAGTTCTATTTAAAATTTATTTTCATTTAGTTATAGTGATTAAAACACTAGCTTTCAGGAGGAAACAGCAACAAAAGTAATAGTTGCCAGGAACATTGGGCAGGCACTACCAAATATTTAATCCTAATAACAACTCTGTAAGATAGATACTGTTATCCCATTTTTCTGATGAAGAAACTGAGCCAGACAAAGAAATAAGGGAGGTAGAATCCATTTGAGTGTTATCTTCATATTTCTAAGAGTGATGGCCCTGTCAGACAGGAAAAAAAAAAAGTGAGAAGAATGCAGAGCTCTATCATATATGATGTTAAATTAAAACAAGTTAAATGAGGTAAAGGGTTGGGATGGGTTGTCATTGAAGCTTAGACTTCGGTATTAAAATGAGCTGAAAAAGCAAAATTCAGTGAAGATGTTAGAAAAGTTATATTTTACATTAGAAATTGCAGATGCTGATTATCTGTAAGAGTTAGATAATTTATTTTGAACCCATGAACGACCAAGTGGCTCTAAAGATTTGGAGGACCAATTGTTGCAGTAACTATTAAAAAACCCCCAAAACTCACAGTGTTGGTCAGTGGAGAGTGACCCTAGGTGTCCTACAGTTTTAGTCTCATTTCTTTCTTTCTTTTTTTTTTTTTAAGCAAGACCCTCAGCAGCTTATTTTATTTTATTTCATTTATTTACTTTTTTTATTCATTTGACAGAGACAGACACAGCGAGAGAGGGAACACAAGCAGGGGGAGTGGGAGCTTGCTTCCCACCGAGCAGGGAGCCCGACGCGGGGCTCGATCCCAGGACCCTGGGATCATGATCCGAGGTACTGGGCCACCCAGGCGCCCCTTTAGTCTCATTTCTTAAGGTGGGCAGCGGGGTGGATGAGGGAAAAGAACCTCATCTTGATAAACAACCTCAAGCTGCTCTCATGGTAACTGATGGTAAGTTTGAGCTCATCATATTGTTTACTTCTTAAACCTGAGGTAGATTTCCCTGTTTTAGAATTGCTGCTCATCTCACAGGACCACTGAACTGAAGTCTTTTGTATTATCTGTGTTTTCGGACAAAACTGTCTCTGAATATTTGGTGCTACAATAAAGCAATGATTCTCAGACTTTAATGTGTGTCAGAATCACCTGAAAATCTAGTTAAAACAAAAATGATGGGCTCCTTCCCAAGAACT